AGATATCTTATAAGTGGTACTCATAAAGATAGCAAATGTTCAAGAAAATGGTCAAAATTGATAAATCCAACAAGTGGTTCCAAACTAGAAAATTATTTAAAATGGTATCACATCTACATATGGCATCTATCATACAAGTGATATCAATCATGCAAAAAGATGGTTCCACAAGTGATCCTAAACTTCAAGTAATCATCAAATGAAAGATGCATCCCTCACCTACAAGAGCTCAAATATATAAAATGGATGAGCCATACATAAAAATGGTATCTACATGTAGTGTCTTTCCAACAATCAAGTAATGTCCATAAAAAATGCAAGATTTAAGTCTCAACCATCTACCCCAACGTGCATACCTTTGCATCAATAAGAAGCATACCTTTTATGGAAATTGATGCCAAAGGGGGAGAAATTGTACAAAGATATGAAAGATATGGGGGAGAGATTGTACAAACATAAGAAATATATAAAAATCTTAAGATTGTACAAAAGGAAGAGATAGGACATGGACATGAACAAAGAGGGAGCAACATTGGAGAAAAGAAAAGGATCAAATTCTTGGACAAGAGAAGCACACAAGTAGGGGGAGCAAGCTCATGAACTTTGAATGATTGCATTTGATATGTGCATATTCATGTGCTTGCTTGCATTGCATAAGTTATTAAATAAAATATGCATGCTTGTGTGGTGTATGCTAGTTATAGAACTTGAATGATGATTTGATAACTAGTGTGCATAGGATGATAGCTAGACACTTGGTATGTTTTTCAAGTAATACTAGTACCTTGCTTTTAATGTTGATCTCATGAGGTATCTAGTGATTCTTATTTCCAAGTGTTATCTAGCTAACCATGGTGCTAAGGATGAACTTAAAGGTGCAACTCCGATTGGTATCACACTTCAAAGGTTTATTTTATACACCTTAGCATCATTCGGTAGTAATTACTCTCCCACCATTTCAATCTATGCATATGTGCAAGCTTCAATTTAAATACTCTAGCACATATGTAGGGGGAGCTAATACTACCATTTCGGGTTTGTGGTACTTGTCCAAAATCATTTACACATGGTAAAATTGCTTGGGCCAGAAACATGAATCCAAAAGTGCTTAATTTACATATCTTTGTAGAGTTGTCATCAATTACCAAAAAGGGGGAGATTGAAAGGTCCTTGTTTGGTTTTGGTAATTGAGTGACAACTTAGGTGGACTAATTGTGTTTATGTGAGATACACAGGTGATTAGTCCACATGTACATGTGTGTGAGCAACATATGCCATGAAGGTGAAAATGGCTTAGAGATGTTGCAAAGCTCACACATGTGATGATGAAGGAGCTTATTGCACATGAGACATGATATTGAGTCATGTGATCAAGGTGGAGAAGATCAAGACAAGACTTGGCTTGATGGACCGGTTGCAAGAGTGAAGGGCAAGTCGAAGGCTTTGGAGTGATGGACCGCGTGGCGGTGAAGGTTGAGCAAGACATGGCACCGATGGACGATGGCAATGGTGAAGAGCAAGTGAAGTTAAGATCGATGAACCAATATGATCACGTGATGATATGAAGTGGATCATATCATTGTTGATCGTGTTAGTGCATGTGTTGCATCAACGTTGGAGGAGATGGAATGGAATGCGCAAGGCAAAGGTATAACATAGGGCATTTCATTTCACCGGTCATAGGTGTGTAGAGAAGTTTATGACCGGGTTTCGGATAGATGGCCGTACTATCAAGAGGAGCAAACTTGTTTGCATATCGGTCATCTAGTGCCACTCGAGTGATCTAACTTTGCATCATCGCTAGGATTGAGTGGTGTGGCTAACCCTTTGGAAAATGATTGTGAAAAGCTAACACAAATACACATGGTGGTGTACACTTGGTGGTGTTGGCACATTTACCAAGGAAATGAAGTTGGAGTTGATGTGGATCAACTCGGCGATGGAATGGTGGCGAGAAGGGTTAGGAACTCCACCGGCGGAGTGTCCGCCCATAGAGTTCGGACAGTCCAACGGTGCAACCAGCGCCCTAGTTAGAAAAGACAGAGTCTCACAGAGTGGATCGGATGCTGGTCACGTGGTGACCAGACACTGGGGTCCTGCATCCGGTCAGTAGCAGCAGAGATGCATCCGGTCATGTCCGGTACCTTACTGGAAACGCCGGTCAGTTGTTGCTGGAGCGTCCGGTCGGCAGATGACCGTTGAGATTCAGCGAACAGCGTTTGAAGGAAGGGACACATGGCGTGTATCGCACGACCTGACGTCCAGCATCCGGTCGATCGGACCGGAGCGTCCGGTCGTCCCGAGTTTTGCCCAATGAAGGGGTAACGGCTCTATTTGTTCGTGGGGTTATAAATAGAGGCCATGGTCGGCCTTGGGCTTGTAGCTGAGCACAATATAGCCTTGGTGGCTTGTGTGGTAGTGCTTGGAGCCCTCCATCTCACACATATATGATAGTGATCATTCGATAGTATGAGAGAGCGATTCTAGTGCGATTGCATCATGAGGTTGCATCGAGTGGCACTAGGTGGTCGTGTTGCAAGCCGGTGGTGCTTGTTACTCTTGGAGGTTGCCACCTCCTAGACGGCTTGGTGGTGGTCTCCGTCGAAGCCCGCAAGAAGCTTGTGTGGCGCTCTGGAGAAGTGCTTGTGAGGGGTACTTGTGCTCGCCCCGTGGGAGCCGCGAAGAGCAACTCTAGTAAAATCGTGTCATTGAGCTACCCTCACTTCCGGGGTAGGTTCTTGCGGCGCCCGACGTGCGGGCTTAGCGGGTGATGCTAATTAGCCGCCGAACCACCAAGTGAGCGGTCGACACAACAGGGACTAGCGTGTTGGCAAACACATGAACCTCGGGAGAAAAATCATCGTGTCAACCTTGTTCTTCCCGTTGGTTTGCATCCCCATTACACAAGCTTGCAATTACATTTATATATATTAAGCTTGTGTAGTTGCTCTTGTAATTAGATAGCTTGTGTAGCTTGCTAATTACCTTCTTGCTTATGTAGCATAGAAGTAGCTCCCTTGCGTGGCTAATTTGGTTTGAGTAACCTTGTTAGTCATATTGCTTAGTTTGTGTAGCTAAGTATTTGCGCTCTCTAATTAGGCATTGGTTGCCTTGTTATTGAGCACTGCTAGAGAGCTTAGTTAGCTTTGTGCTTTTGCTTACTAGCATGTGTAGGAGCTTCCTCATAGCTTAAAGTACTAGTGGCATAGGTTTGTGTGACCTTGCTCCTAGAATTGATTAGGAGAGCTCTAGCTAGCCCGGCACCTTAGATGCATAATTGTTATCTTTGCAAGGTGCTAGTGAACATATATAGAGGGGTATAGTCTTGGCTAGACCGATTGTTTTAATTCTGCATTTATATCGGTTAGCCGACGCGATTAAGTTTTAGAAAAGACTATTCACCCCCCCTCTAGTCGCCATCTCGACCTTACACCTATCCCCCCCTCCCTAGAGCCTTCGTAAAACCCTAATTCATATCCTCATCTCAGGATCAGGGCATCGCATTCAAGAGAGATTAGTCCTCTAGTTAGGATCTATTCTTTGTACACAAATAGAGAGAGGGTAAGGGAAGAGTTTGGGGGAAGTATCGGCCTATCGGTGCTACCTCTATGGCTTGTACTTTGGCGGATCTAGGATTCTCCATGTCTACATCTAAGATACCTCTGGTAATTGATTTCTATTTGTAGTAAGTTTTGTGCTCTTTTGTTCACGGTTTCACAATTCTTTTGAGTGCTCTAGTCCTTGTTAGATATCTGGATCAGAGTAGTAATCGTTAGCATAAGCATGGTGCTTAGGCTATCAGCTACCTGTGTTTGCTCCCTGCTTCTTGGTTGTGTGGTAGCAGCGGGAGGTGATAGCCCCGTCTATCCTTTGTAGTCCACGCCGAATGGAGCAGGTTATTAAATTAGTAGGACCGTAGTCGCGTTGGTAGAGTTATCTATTAGCAGTGCTTTACCATCTAAGCGACATTCCAAAGTGAACATTAGAATCATAAGCCTTGCTTTGTATAAGGTCATAACCATAGAAATCCTTTCTACTCATACCTTAAACCTTGATTGCTATCCCTGTACAAACTTGTTATTAGACAACACACACATTTTCCCGTGGATACGATACTCGATAATACTCTGGGTGAAAACTACTTTGATACCCGTGCACTTGTGGATTTTGTCTCTGTATGCCACCATAGGTGTCAACAGCGACCAGCCTAAAACCCCCAAAACCTCCCAAGGTATGATGGGAACTTCGACCATCGGCAATTCATCATGAGCTACGAGGCAGTCATCGCAGCTGTAGGCAGCGAGGAGGCCACCATGGCTAGCCCGAGACATCGCTCAATGTTGGTATGCCAACCTTTGACTAGGTTCCAACGAATCCTAGGGCGACCTCCGCGACAAACTATGCTCCAATTTCAAAGGCATCAATATAGCACCCAATGATCCGATGGATCTGTTTAGCTATAAATAGGGAGAAAGGGAACCCCTGCAAGAATATTGGCAAAGGTTCATTCAGCTGAGGACTCGCACCCCAAACATAACCGATGAGGCTGTCATCCTCGCAGCAGTCAACGGCCTAAGATTAGGACCCTGTTCCTCTTGGCTCTCAAGAAGACAAGCCTCAATAGTCATAGAGTTGCACGAGGTCATGAAAAAGTACCACAGAGCAGACGCAGATTTCAGGATGAAGACGAAGGTGCAATGATCCCAACCCCGACCTCCGCCGATGACACAACAAAGACCACCATACCCTCGCAGAGAGTTAATCAATGTCAATGCCATAGACAACACACCCCCACCCGTCCAAAAAACAACAACAAGCCTCAAGATCACCATACCCTTTCTAGTTTAATATATAACCCGATCAGCTAGTTTGAATTCATACATTGAGGACTAGTTAGTATACATAAACCAGGAACAATATTTTCTGAATACGCAAGTCTACATCTTAATACACGTGCAACGGCAGGTGGGCAAAATTACAACTCAGAACAGAGAATTGCATCACGACAAGTTCTCCACAACATCATTGGTATTGCCTCCATGCTGAACTTTTGTCATCTCGCTGTCGGCAGACCTTGGCTGTCGGCTGTCGCTGCACTTTGTTCGTCGGTACCAGGTGTATACTGCGTAGGATGCAATATAGACCAGCAAGGGAATTACCAGAGCAATGACATTCCTAGACATCTCCCAGTCTCTGGTACTGCCTGCTGTGTAAGCAACCAGGAGGCCATCCAAATCTAGCAAAGTGGCCATATGCAGTGGGCGTAGCGGCAACTCATCATGCAATGGAAGCAGCAGGACAATGATGACGATGGACACCATAAATGAAGTGGAGTTGCTATAGAAGAAATCATGGTAGCGACTTTTGTCAATGTCGTGGAGGATTGAGTTGCTTGCAGAGTGTCCATCCGGACCATCCTTGTTGTCCTGCCAGAGGCCACCTGGTGGTTTCAGACCAGATTGGTATGCCACACTCGCTGCCAGGACTCCTAGCAGCGTCAAGTACTCCTTCTTCTCCTCCTCCTTCTTCTTCATCTCCTCCTTGTCGTTGTCTTGTTCAGGGGCTGCATCAGTATTATCAGTGCGGGCTACGCCTCCGTCGCCAACAGATGGCCCATCTCCTTTATTATGACGACGATGTTCCATAAGTCGTCCAATCAAGAGAATGACCACCCACGAGGTTACACAAGTGAAAACCAGAGCAAACAATACCAAGACATAGATAGAAGTTTGCAGTTGCCGGGAACTTCCTGCAGCGTATGCGCCCATTAATCCAAACAAGCCCACAACCATGCACACAAAGAACAAATAGCATTGTATGCCTGGCATGTACAGGTTTGGGTTCACTAGCAGGACAATCAGGGCCACGTACGCCATGAAGCTTGTGGCGTTGCAGTAGAAGAAGGCTTGGTAATGGTCAGGGTAGTTGTTGAGAAGGACTGGGAATCCTGCACGATGACCAAACTCGTCATCCGCTGACCAGAAGCCGCCTGGCGGGGTCAGCCCAGCTTGGTAAGTGTCTGTAGCAGCTAAGATTGCAAGGAGCAGCAACACCTCCCGTTTACTGTCCAACTCATGAGCATTTCCATGTTTGTCGTCTTTGTCTAGTGTGAAGAAGATGATATGAATCACCACGTAGACAAGGACGGCACCAGCCAAGGCGACGACATATATGGAGGTGCTCACATCCCTGCAGCACCCTGCGCATATGCAACTATGAGTCCAAACAGATCCACTAACATGGCTGCCTCCAGTGAGCGGCGCATAACTAGGAATTCGCACTTCACCATAAGGATGAGAACCAAGGATGCCACAAATGCTGCTGAGTTGCTGTAGAAGAACACCTTGTACCGCTGAGGGTCTGTTGTGAGGAGTACCGGATCACAAACCTTATGGTGGCCATCCTGGTTGTCTGACCACAGACCGCCCGGTGGATCTAGTCCAGCTTGGTAAGTGACACTCGCAACAAGGGTAGCAAGCAAAATAACAAGATCATGAGCCTTTTCCAGTCCAACATCTTTTTTGAGTGGAAGTCCTACATCATCTTGTCCTCTATCCCTGCTAATTCAGACGTATATAGATATTAAGGGTAATTAAAGTTCTATTTTCAAACTTGAACTACTAAGTTACATAACAATTCGATTTCCAACCTTGAACTACAAGAATAGGTACTAGATACACTCCAACTATCGAGACAAAATTTCACCCCCTAGCTGGTTTCCAAGTTGGTTTTTCTATTTTCTAAACATAATAAAATTTTGGTTTAATATCTAAAAAATCATAAGTAAATTATTTCAAATTATAAAAATATGAAACTAGTATCAATTTTTTTTTTTGGAAAATGTTATCTATCTCTCGGTGATCTATTTAGAGAGATTTGTGACTTATTTATTTTTGTTCCCTATTGTTTTATTGTTCGTGTGACTACCAGCAACGAAAAATGTTATTGGACTGCCGTGCAAAAGCAAAGAAAACTTGACTTGCTGGCATAGAGAAGCTAGGGAAGAGGCTTGTGGTCGTCATATATATATACCTGCTGCTACCAGGTGGCCCATGTGGTACATTGGGTGTTCCTGGCGAGCCATTGATTTCCCTTGTGCTTGGTTGACGACATCGTTGAGCAGCTCTAGTAATCGCCACTTGGAGGAAGATGTATGCAAGAACTGCGCCGATCAGAGAGACTACATAGATAGTAGTATCAATCTCTCTGCAGCTCCCAGCAGCATAGGCCCCAACGAGGCCAAAGAGCGCGACGACGATGAGCCCGTACAGTGCAAAGGTCGCAAGTAGCATCAAGACCTCGCTACTTGCGACCTCGTCCTTTTCTTCCCGGCTCTGGCTCGGGCTCTGGCTCTCATGATCCTCCTTTTGCTGCTGCTTATCATCTTTACATTTCTCTAGCTTGGAGATGATATAAAGCGAGAAAGTAAGCACGGCATAGGCCAAGACAACAGACATTACCAGTGTGGAGTATATGGTTGTGAAAGCATCGCGGCAGCTTCCAGCGGCGTAGGCCCCCATGAGTCCAAGTAAATCGAGAACCATGACCACCCGGAGCACAGTTCCACAGACTCCGTTGTTGCCCTCCTGCAGGATGAGGAGGAGCAGGCAGACCACGACGGAGGCCGCAAACGCAGTCGCGTTGCAGTAGTAGAAGGTGAGGTATCGGCCATGGTGGGTGTCCAAAAGGATTAGGTCACCGGCGAGGTGATGAGCATCCTTTGTGTCGTCGTCCTGCCAGACTCCTCCTGGCAGGTTGAGGCCGGCAACGTATGTCACCGCCACAACCAGAGTGGCCAGTAGAAGAAGGTACTTCTTCAGCTTGTACTCTGCTAAAGGATTGTTGTCCTCGGACTGGGTTGGTGCCATTTGGTTGGAGGATGCTCTGCTTTTGCCTGATGGATATTGCTTGCTTGTTGGTGGTGGAAAGAACACTCTTATTAGTTATATATAGCTCTTCAAGTGCACATACATATATAGCTTGATGTGATGTTTCCTTATTAGCATCTGTGTCTCAGCTAATCGTATCATGACTCCATCAGGTCATCTCGGTCAAAATTTTATATATCCTTCTTCTTCTTTTTTTCCCCTATACCTAACAAGAATATAGCATGCTTTTTTTTGTTTTGTAACTTAACAAGCATATCAGTCATGGTCTTCAGCAGTCTTGGTCACTATGGACTTTTGAGTTGTCAATATTCACACGCAAGTTAATTCCCATTCCCATTGCGAAGACCAGCAACAGCAAGTCGACTCCACGGCTAGTGAACTAACACACATAGAAAGCTGATTCCAAGAATGCAGCAGATGCTGTATACTTCTGTAATCAATATGACATCATGCTACTTGTGTAATCAATATGACATCATGCTGTTCTCCGATACTTGATCTTTGTTTAAACAGCTCTTGCTCAAGTGCTACTATATTGCATTCCTGTAGCCAAAAATCATTAAAAACACACAAGGATTAATGTTCACACAAGTTCATGCCGATGCATGTTATGCTATTCACATCGTGTAAGCATTGATCTAACCTGCCTTAAGCTCTTTTATTAATGCATAACGAGATTCTACAAAGTGGTAGGCGGGCTGTCGCTGTATATATGCTCGTCATTCTTTTGTAACATATACAGGAAACATATGACCGAAACATATATTGTATACAAACATCTATCTATCTATTATATTAATACAACAGAATAAAAAGAGCCCTCATGGTCGCCTAGAGGGCATAGAAATTACGACATTGATCAGCAAAAAAGAGAAGAATATCCACCGTTGTATTTTATGATAGATCTACGGTCGAGAATAAATAAACACTACTGGGAAATTTTGGTTTCCAGTAGTAAAAGTATTAGAAAAAAGAAAAAATGTGCATAGTTAAATTTTATGATGATCTAATGGCCGAGAATAAACAGAGTATAAAAAACAAAAGAACATGAAATGTTAGATTTTATGATAATCCAACGTCCGAGAATAAAAAAGTATCGATATCAAATACAAGACCTAGAAATTACGAGATTAATCGAAAAAAGAAAAGAATATGCAGTGTTGGATATTACAAGGATCAAACGGCCGAGAACAAATACGCTAATCTTATCAAATACAAGGCCTAGAAATTACTAAAAGATTTTGGAAAAAAAGAAAAGAGTATGAATCTTTGAATTTTATGATGACCTAAAGGCTAATAATAAGTAGAGTATTCATGTGAAAAAAGAAAGAAATCTTATGCATTGTTGGATTTTATGATGATTTAACCGCCGATAACAAATAGAGTATTCGTGTCAAATACAAGGCCCAAAAATTATGAGATTAATTAAGGAAAAAAGAATATGTACCACTAGACTTTATGATGATCTAACGGCTGAGAATAAGTAGGGCATACATATTAAATACAAGGCCTATATTTTATGAGATTTATGAGGGAAAAAACAATGTTGGATTTTATGATGATCTAATAGTCAAGAATAAATAGAGTATCTGTGTCAAATACAATTAACAAATAACTCAATTCAGTTCATATCTAATATGGCAAGAAAAATATTATAATCTAATTAAGATATAAATGAATTAAGACAGTACACATGGGCGCAAGTCAAAGCTTCTGTTGATGGCAACTCGATTGCATGCAATTAGATGATGCCAACAAACAAATTCCAACAATACCGGTTCTGGTCAAAATTAGAAGGAAAAAAAGGTACCAAGAACAGTGAAGGATTTAGGCCTACTCATCATCACAACCTTGGGTGTGTAACCTACTCATCACGTCCACAACCTTGGGTGTGTAACCTTACTCATCACAAGTCTACAACCTTGGGTGTGTAACCTTACTCATCACGCATCCAAGATGCTACGCACTTAATTTGGACCGTGGCCACATGGGTGTTGGGCACTTTTGCTTGTTCCATATTCCTGATAGATAGCCCCAGTGGCGTGGACGTACGGTTACAGCTCATGGCATCATATGCGCTGTGGTTCTTCTCCATTCTGTACGTGTGTGAGTGAGGGCACCCAAGCCTGCTACTAGTAACACAGGCAGCAACATACGCGTGCTGTGTCTACTCATCACCTCAATCTATCTTATCTTACTACTAACAATTTCTTCTTTCCGATCGAGGACGACCTTATTATTAATTCCGAGGAAAATATGCCAAACCGGTGATGAGTATAAATAAACCATGCATTCCACGTTTTGATTCCGTGGAATGATTTTACAAGACACCGCATCTCCTTTTGTTCCAAAGCGACGAAAAAGCTGGACACCGAAGGTGCCTCGGCTCGCACGGAGCCACTCCACTTTATTCCCTGTCCAAAGTCTCTAAACAGGCCAGCTAGTACTTTGGTCTTTATTTATTAGAAAATAGAAACAAAAACAATTTGGTCTCCCACTGATCCAAACCTGATCCCTTCTCCTCAGTGTGAGTACAAGTCACATCGTTACTCGTTAGTGCCATTGGTGATTGAACAGTTGGTCAGATTTTTTTTTTCTGATATAAAAATTGGACTTGGCACGGTGCTTATAGTTATCTTGATTTATTTTCCTAAATAAACAATGATATTTATCGATCAGTTGACGAAATGGCTATGAAGAAGTAAATCTCAAGATTTGCCGATTTGTTTTATATTCATTCATACAGACGAGTTGGGTATGTGTGTATGCGCCTAGCACCACATCTTCGCATGTTAGCTAGCGTTTAGTTCTAGGGATAGAACGGTTCCGGGTGAGGTATTCCACCTTGTACAGTGTTTAATCCAGAGACGAGTAGGGACAGAGTCATCTCGAGAGAATATTCCTACGAGATCTGGGGTAACATAGAGAAACGACCTTTGATCCAGCTCGAAATTTGGCTTTAGTCCTGGTATTTTTCGTGTCCGGAACTAGAGAGACCTTTAGCCCCGGTTTGTAGATCCAACCGGGACTAAAGGTCTCTACCCAACGGCTACTTCGCCAGGCTTTTGCTGGAGGGGACCTTTAGCCCCGGTTGAATCTACAAACCGGGACTAAAGATTAATTTTTACTCCCAGTTCGTGCCTCCAACCGGGAGTAAAAGTCTACTCCCGGCTGGAGGCTCTGTCCGGGACTAGAAAGAGACCTTTAGTCCTGGTTTCTGTCTCCAATCGGGACTAAAGGTACCCTCATATATAGCCCTTGTTCTTCCCCGAGCCCGAGCCACTTCGAGCTCACTGTTCTCTTGCTTCATCGCCGGCCTCTGTTCTTCCTCATCACCGCTGTATCACAAGATTTCTTCCATTCCTCCATCGGTTCTAAAGGTTACCAACTTTATAATCTCGTGTTTTATCTGTAGCTTATTTCATTTTATGGACTAGATATATGTGGTTTTTTTATGGTAGATTTTTTTATTTGTAAGCCAATTAAGCTCAAAATCACTTTAAAGTTTGCGTATTTGGATGAAGTAAGGTTAAAATAGTTATTCAAAACTAGTATGGAGCTTTCATTTCTAGCATGCATAGCACACTTCATGCTTTAGAGATATAGAGAATTTTAGAGTTTTTTTTAATTTTATTTGTTTATAAAATGAGAAATTTATATTATGTTAAAAATGAGTATAGAGAGTAGATGGCAACTGCTTCCGGGTCCTCGGCCTCTCATCGGGTTACAAAGTGACTGAGGTCGGACCTTCCTCTCATTGCATGTGGCAAGTGTGAGGAGAAGATTGTAATGGAGTACCGGGTGAGAAAGGAGTGTCCCAACAAGAGTCGTATCTTCTACAAGTGTCCGGATTGCAATGTGAGTTATTTTGTCGCATTTGATGATTATGGTTAATTTATACTTATTTTTATGACGATTGTAATTAAAGTTCTAATTTTTTATTTTAATTTCAGTGGGATGGCACTGGATGTTCAGGCTGGTACTGGGAGGAAGAGTATGTTGAACACGTGCAAAACTCTCTTGCACAGGTGGCTACGGCGGCTGATGAGGCAGTGATCCTGCGGAAGAAGCCCATAGATGTTGAACAAACGCATGATCTGTCTATTTTAGTTGGGATTGGTCGCGAAATCCTTATGCTGCTGAAGTGCATTTTAGCTTTAGTTTTTTTAGTGGTAGTTGGGATTGTCTATATTGTAGCGGGACTTTCATAAATTGATACCTTATGTGGTGGCATGCATGTCGTATAATTAACTAATTATGTTCTAGGTTTTAATATGGTATGTATGTCATGTAAAGCAGATGAGCCAGCATTGGATGTACAATGCTGATCGCCGCTCTCAAGAGTTCATTGAGGGCGTGCATTCTTTCTTACGTGTGGCCGAGGCAAACAAACGCGATGGTTTCATGTGCTGCCCATGTGTCATATGTAAGAATTTGAAGGAATATGCTAGCTCAAGGAGTCTTCATTCACACTTGTTGAAGTCGGGTTTCATGCCAAACTATATTTGTTTGATGAAGCACGGAGAAACCAGGGTTGTAATGGAAGAAGGTGAAGAAGAACAATGGGACGATGATGACATTATTGCTGAATATGGTGCCTTCAATGATACTACAATGGGGGAAGCTGAAGAAGAGGTAGGGGCAGAAGATGAGCCCGCTGATGATCTTGGTCAGGCCATTCGTGACGCATAAAGAGAATGCGAAAGTGAAAAGGAGAAGATCAAGTTTGAGCGCATGCTAGAGGATCACAAGAAATTGCTATACTCAACTTGTGATGCGGGACAGAAAAAGTTGGGTACCACACTAGAATTGCTGCAATGGAAGGCAAAGAATGGTGTATCTGACAAGGGATTTGGGGAGTTACTGAAAATCCAAAAGAAGATGCTTCCAAATGATAATGAATTGCCCGTCGCTACGTACGAAGCAAAACAGGTAGTCTGCCCTTTGGGATTAGAAATCCAGAAGATACATGTATGTCC